GAGGAGGAGGAGGAGGAGGAGTAGGAGGAGGAGGTCCCGGTGGAGGAGGAGAAGGAGGAGGTCCCGATAGAGGAGGAGGAGGAGGAGGTGTCGATGGAGGAGGAAGAGGAGGAGGAGGAGGAGGAGGAGGAGGAGGAGGAGGATTTCCCGACCGACCAATCAATCAATCAATCAATCAATCAATCAATCAATCAATCAATCAATCGATCAATCTATCAATGAATCAATCATTGACAATCAATCCATTAATCAAGTCCCGTTGAATCTATTGACTCGATAGGATCTTGACAGTTCAAGATCCTATGGAATCAATAGATTCGACGGGACTTGATCGATATATTGATTGATTGATTGATTGGTGGATTGATTGATTGATTGATTGATTGATTGATTGATTGATTAATTGATTGGTTGATTGATCGATTGATTGATTGATTGGTTGATCGATCAATCTATCAATCAATCAATCAGCCCTCCTCCTCCTCTCGTCCTCGTAATCTGTCCTCCTAATTTGTCCTCGTCCTCGTCCTCCTACATTCGCCGGCAAACGATTGACAGGATATCTAACGCATTCTCTTTTTTCAATTGTTGATGCAGCTCTCACATGTGTGCATCCCGAGACTGCTAAGTGGTGTGCAGCTTAGACATTGTGTTTCGGTCCTCGAGTGAGTCCATCCTTTGGAAGGCCACATCCAGATCTTTGATTACAGTTCGTGCTCGATGGCGGCGGCAAGTAGATGTCGTTTTGGCAACGCCTGTCCCGCCTTCATGCCCCTGCCCGATTGGAAACAAGCGGACTTGCAGCGTTCACATGTCGTGTGGGAGTGGATCGAGAGGGATCAGGACCACGGTGTGGTTGGTGGGGGCAACTTTTTGATGTGTTGTCGGATACGCCATGATGTCTTCCCAAGTTCCAGATCCAGGGCAGTAGAACACTTCACAAAACAAAACGCACAATGCCCATGACGGATCGGTGAGATGCTGTGGGGATTGCAGCGGGAAGGAGCAAAGCTCAAGGACCCGTTGTCACAGAGACTAGCCGCGGAGCATGCTGATGCCTTGGAGGGGGCGCTGGCTATGGATGACATGGGCAGAGGTCAGGGTGGTGTTCAAACGGACGAACCCGCGAGAGAGGTAGTAGAAGAGCATGCCACAGAGCAGGGCCGGGATGTGAACATCGTGAATCGTGCGGAGGAGGTGCCTGGGCGTGGACGAGATGCAAATGATGGACGTGACCGCTCGCGGTCGCTTGTCGGTATGCCGACAGCCTGCGACAGGAAGTGATGGTGGGGCATCTAGGGCAACTCCAGCCATGCAGGCTGCGTCCACATGTGTGCCCTCGAGAGCGAGGCGAACAACCTTGGATCCATATATGGGGAACAAGGTGCAGAAAGAGCTCGATCGTCTCTTGGCACTTGCCATCTACCGAGGCGGTGTATCGTTCAACTAGTTGCGTTTGTAGGAGACGCAGGACTATTGGAACTATAAAGTTACTCTCTTGCGTCCCTCCATTGTGCCACCGCGACGCCTGCTGACGTACGAGGGAGTGAGCACGAGGATGCTGGACATTATTTACCACGAGGTCGCGACGCTGATTGCCCCCAAGAAGACAAAGTGGAAGACCAGCGGATGCACGTTGATGATGGACGGGGCGACGGACGAGAGGAACAAGCCCATCATGAACTTCATTGCAGCAGGGGAGTCTGGACTGGTCCTTATCTGTACAATCGACATGTCAGACCGGGACAAGACAGGCATCAGTTTGGCGGAAATATGGGAGAGTGTCATATGAGATGACATCGGGGTCGACAATGTCAACGCTATTTGCACTGACAATGCGGATGTGATGAAGACAGCGGCCAATGTTTTGCAGTCCCACCCAGACCCGGCCATTGCACGCATTCCTTGGATCCCGTGCGCAGCACATTGCCCGAGCTTGCTGCTGAGGGACATCGCTGCACAGCTTTGGCCGAAAGCAGTCATGAAGCAGGCGCACAACATAATCAAGTTCATGAGAAACAAACAGAGGGCGCTCGCATCGAGGCACGACAAATGCGCTGGACCTCGGGCGACTGGCGGATAATCGATTCGGGACTGCTTTCATGATGTTGGAGAGGTTGTGGGCGCAAAGGTTCGTGCTTGATGAGGTGGTATCGTCAGATAAGTGGAGATGTGCACGATGGACTGGGGACGCACGCACTGAGGAGCCGGATGTCCGCAGATTGTGCCGATCTGATGCATGGTGGCAGGAGGTGAAGAGAGTGATGGAAGTCATGGAGCCGTGCTACCATTTCCTCAGGGAAATGGACCGCGACAGGTCGTCACCGCCAGGTTTGTGGGATCTCCAGTCAATCCTCGAGAGGAAGATTGATGCTCTCCAACTGGACGAGTGCCAGAGGGCGGTCGTCATGGACATTGCGGCAGACAGGTGTGCTATGATGCGTCAGCCTGCCCATGCCGCAGCTTATTTGTTGGATCCTCGTCGGCCAGACGTGTCATTGTTGAGGGATCGCTCCGCCCCCGTTGTCCAGAACGCGCTCGACCACTTCGCTCACACTTTAGGCGGGGATTGGGGGCCGGAGGAGATGCACAAACTTTGGGAGGCATTATGGACTTTCCATTCAAGCGATCCGTGGTACTGACTGGAGCGTGGACCTCAATGGTGAGACCCGCTCGCCACTCGGGATGCAACATCTAAGACCATGCACCCGGCGTTGTGGTGGGAGTTTCATGGTGGCCGTTTCCCAAAGTTGCAAGCCATCGCGAAGAAGGTGCTTGGTATGTGGTCGACCACGACTCCTTGCGAGCACAACTGGGCCACTCACGACTTCATACACATGAAGAGGCGCAACCACCTTTCCGCTCAGAGTGTTGAGAAACTTGTGTTCATTCACTGGAACATGCAGCTTCTCAGCGCCAGCAAGCGGCCGGAGAGTCGTTATATCGACGTGTGGGCGGATATGGTGGAGGATCCCTCAAAGGAAATCGACGACGCAGATGTAATACCCACAGATGTGGACGAGGCTGAGTGGGAGATCATTGATCAGGCCAACCGTCGCAAGGACAGTCGTAACCGGATCACATCTATATCGGCAGACGATCCTTTGGCAGACGCAGTGTCTCCCTGGCAGGATGCGGTGTGGATGCATCGCGAGGCGGAGCAAGCGTAGGTGGAGCGGAGCAGGGGGAAGGCGGCTGCAGAGGACCACTGCGACATTTTGGATGAGTGGGCGACATTGGACCCCCACACGGACTTCGACTCTTACGTCGATGGCAGTTTGCAGGCAGTGAGGACCCTCTGGAGCAGGGTGGGAGGCCACGTCGATGTCGAGGGTCTGTTGGAGATAGACGATGCGGAGAAGGCAGAGGAGGACATTGAACGCAGACACGAGGACATCCTTGCCTCGACTTCACAGCCACGGGTAGCGGAGATAGGGTCATCACGCGCCACAACATCACAGGACCTCCATAATCCGGAGTCTTGTCGTTATGCAGGGCCGACTACCGTGGACTCCATACGGGACCTCCTCCTCCTCATGATGATAGCATGGAGGAGAGGGCCGATCAGGCAGCGGAGCATGGGGCACAACACAAGGAGCAGAGGGTGCAGCAGGTGGCGGAGCAGCTCACAGAGAGTTCAGGGGTCAAACAAAGAATTGTGCAGACGGTGGATCAGAGGGCGGACGTGGTTGATCAAAGGGCAGAGCAGAGGGTGGAGCAGGTGGGGGAAGGTTTGGCCACGACAGTGGAGCAGCAGGCGGAGCAAAGGGTGGAGGTTAGGGTGGATGTGAGTGTGGAGCAGCAAGTGGATCAAAGGGTGGATCAAAGGGTGGATCAGCGAGTGGAGCAGAGGGTGGAGGTTATGGTGGATGTGAGTGTGGAGCAGCAAGTGGATCAGCGCAGATCAGACATCGTACACGAGAGAGTACTTGAGAGGATTGACGAGAGTATCGTTCGAGATGAGGGCGCTGTGACGGTGGAGAACAGGACTGAGGAGAGGAGTAGGGATCCCCCGTAGGAGAGCAGTGCTCGAGACATCGCAGTCACTAGAGGTTCATTTTACGGGATTCCGCCGCTACTTCCACGTGCCGCACAATCCTCTCGGGGGGTGGATCTTGGTGTGCATTGCATATCGCCACCAAATCGCGTGGCAGCTAAGGAGCGAGCATCTACAGCAGTTAGGGGCGTTGTCGACGGCGCCTCCAGTCAGGCGAAGCAGGGAGGGGGACGCAGCTTGTTACTGACGAGTACCACACCCTTGACCAGTGTAGCAGGCACACACACTGGGGGGGGCACTCTTCCCGCGTCACTACGGCCATCGTCATCTAGGACAGCTTGCACGCCCGCGCGTAGTCCATTGGGCATGCCCCCTCTCCCCACACGACAGCCATCAGCTATCCGCGACAACGTCAAGACGAGTCGTGCGGGCAGGAAGAAGAGACAAAGGGAGGATGACGAAGGGGGGGAGCCACCTCCCGCATGTCCAAAAGTAGGCACCGGTCGAGGTCGTGGCCAGCCTCGTGGCTCAGGCAGAGGCCGAAACAAGCAAAAACAGTCATGAACACTGGGTGCACTGGGCCATGGCAACACAGAAACGGATGTTGCAGAGGGTATTGCTACGGGAGTTGGTGTTGTTGCCGGTATCCGTACGAGATCTCGAGCGGCCGGTAGAGAGATGCACAAAACCTTTTCTCGCGTGCTAGATGATGATCCTGATGAGAATGATAATGGCAACACATCAGATGAGATGTCCGGCAGCGACTATGAGGAGGAGACTCGTATGGGGGGTCAGGATGAGGCAGGAGATGGCGACAGCTCCGACGGCACCGACGACATGGCGGAATAGTGGGATGTAGTGTCGTGGTGTCCATCCATCTGCGTGGAGTCGTCGGGGGGAGGTCGGGGGGATGTAGTGTCGTGGTGTCCATCCATCTGCGTGGAGTCGTCGGGGGGAGGTCGGGGGGAGGTTGGGGGTTGCCT